AATAATTTAAATCAGAATTACTATTATATAAGTAAAAATCATATGAAAGCTGATAATAAATGAATCAGAATCAATCAATTGATAATCAAATCCTGAAATATCTGAAATTAATGCTAAAAACTTGTATATATAGTTTTGTTTTACTTATTTCTTCTGGATATTTAATTAATAAAATTTTGAATATATTAAATCACTTTTGTTCAACATAACATAAGAATAATTGATATTTTTTTTTCAAACGATTGTAATGGTATTTAATAATTTAAGTTAAGTGCGAATTAATGGACTCTATATCCTAATTTAAAAAGCTAAAGTAAAAGGTGGAAAAAACTATGTGGATAGGTTAATCATTATTAGGCATTCTAGTAAAGTATTAGGTGAATATTTTTTATTTTTTCTGGTATGAAATAGAAAGTAGGTAATTTATTTAAGGTTTTGATTAATATCCGACTAGATTGATATGTAAATCGCCATTTAATAGAGGTTCAGATAAGAGAAATAAATATTAGTGATTTTAATTTACTAAACCAAATAGAATTGCATTTCTTACTGAAACTACAAAGGAAACGAATTTTTCTTTAAGTTATCTCCTTCAAAAGTTCACATTATAATTGATTTTATTTATCTAATCTTAGTTCGCGGGTTCTCAATCCAGAAAAGTTTATTTCTATCCAAATAAAAATTATTCTCTCGTTTTCCTATAAATTCCTTCAGTAGATTTAAGACAGAACCATTATTATTACTTTACTCCAATAGAAATCCTTACTCTCCTACCTTTCTCAAAATTAAAAATAAATAATTGAGTTTTTAATTTTGATCTGTGTTTATATCATAAAAATTTTAATCTTACATGGCAGCTGAAAAATTGATATAGTTATTACTAATTAATTATTCATTTTAATAAAAATAAAAGATAATATGGAAAAAAATGAAAAAGAAATAAAGAACAAGAATTTTTAGTCTTGATGCTGATACTGTGATTTACTTGATTAATAAACATTGCAGATAAGTTGACTTCAATAGGTAAATATACGATTTTCTCAAAATTATCTATAATTGGATTGATAAAAAAAGGTAAATAAATTAATAGAGAATAAAATCATTAAATCAACTCAAAGGAAAGTAATACAAAATTTATAAAGGTGATACAATAATTATATAGCAAAAGTTAAGTAATCAACAGAAGATGCTTTTAAACTAAAATATTCTTAAACGCATTTTCTATAATCATAAAAAATTTTTGATAGGTAATTGAAACCATAACTAAAATTCTTGAAATATGAATAAGAGAGTAAATAATAAATATATATAAATGAGGCTATCATTCAATTGATCTATTTTGAATTGAATATCAAGATGGGTAATAGGTGGGGATGTTTAAAATTACTATTTAAGGAAAATAATAATTTCAATAACTTCTTCAATACTATATGAAAGAAATATAAGTATTTTTATTTTATAAACAAATTATCCTTCAAGTTAATTTACTTTGGCACTTTTATTTGGAGAGAAAGAACTAATTTTATCTTTTTTTATGATTAACTGATAAAAATGAAGAATTATTAGTCGTTGATAGTAAATAAGACCTAAATATATTAAATTGCTTAAAAAATAATATTGGTTAATGTTTATTAAGTAAAAAATAAATTCTCAAGCTCATGTAAATGAGAATTTCAAAAGATAAATATATCATTATGATTGAATCTCAAGTTTTCAAAAGGAAATGATAAAGGGTGGATATTTTAAAGTAATGAATAATAGTCTAAGAGAGATTATTAAATAATAGAAAATAGTTTGAATAAAAAAGAACTTGAAAATTTGTTTCTCAAAGAAATCATCAGATTTCTTATAATAAAATATAAAATTCTTATGACTCTAAAACCATAATATAAAATAAAATGATTAATTATTACTATTTATTATATAATAAAACTATTTATAGTATATATTTAGAATAATATGTATTATAATTTAAATTAAAAAAGATACAAATGTTTCTTTGTCAAAATTTAGAACATGAAGGAAGTTCAATTATCGCTTTTTGCCTTTCTGCTGATTGTCAGGAACCTAAATCACAATTTAGCTTTAATTGTTTAATCAATCCCCAAAAACATTAAAATTGTAGAATTGACTGCAAGCCATTTGATAAAATCGATACACTACTAGATTTAATTCTATATAAGCTAGATAAAATGTTAGAATAAACTGATTAGAAGTTTGAATTGTTAAAGTTAGAGTATGAAAAAACAATCAAAATTATTTAACAAGAATAGCAAAGGTTTTATGAGATAATCAAAAACTTGAAAGAATAAAAATACTAGGAATTTCTTGATAATATTGGCAAAATAAAGAATTGGAATACAATAATGAAGTCGACTTAATTTGAGAAAGAATTATTGATCTCTGTATTCGTAATATGTTACAATTAGGGTTGAAACAAGGAATCGAATTAATAAACTAGAAGGAATACTAAACCGCTTTTGTAAAATTTGGGAAAGTTTTAAAAGAAGACGCAAATAATTTTTTGGCATAATTTTACCAATGTATTATTTATTAATTAAATGAATTTCTTATTAATGTAATAGAATAACAATTATAAATTTTTTAATTGTTAAGGGAATTATAAATAAAATACCCAAATTTTTAAGAATAAGCTTTATTCACTGTATAGGAAAAATTAAGAATTTAAAGCAATAATATAGCTGTATTGATATTATAAGTATATTGTAAGATATATTTGGATGAAAAAGAAAAAAAATAAGATATTTATCAAAACATTATGATATATATTGTGATACTATTTTAAGTTTAGATAAAAAAATTGTTTGTGCTCTATGGATGAAAAGTATAAGTTTAAATAATTAATAGTAAAATCATTATGTGAATAGAAAAAATATTAATAAGCGATTATGAGTGCTGAAGAAGGTTTGATGGTGAATAACAACAATAGTCATTTACATTGTATAAAAGGTGAAAAAGAATAATTATGATAAGGTATTGTGTTATAAGAACTAAATTAATTGTAAGATGCAATGTAATTTTTTGATAAAGCCATTTCATTTGATCCAAAAAATGTTGATGCCTATAATAACAAGGGTTTTATCCCATATAGTTTAAAGTGAAGTAAAATGATAGATACTGTCATACACAATTTGAAATAATATGAATAAGCAATAATCTGCTATGATCAAGCCATTTCAATTGATCCAAATTATGTTAATGCCTATTATATTAAAGGTATTATTAATTTTATTTAAGCAATTTCCTTAAAATGTTTGAACAAAATTATATAATCTATACAAAATTACTAAATGTAATAGTTTAAAGTCATTCTGTTTTAATTCAACTGAAACTGTATTGGTATCATGTGGATATTAAGAATTTATCATTCGGGAGAAAGGAGTATTAGGAAAATGGGAATTTAAATATATGATTGAATAAAATGAGTATTTATATTTAGTATTTACACATTTATTGTATTTATAATAGTAAAAGATTGATTTAATAACAAAAATTCTATAAAAAAAAATGTGTCAAGAATTTAAGCATTAAAATTAATACTAGAATTAATTTAGACTAGAATAAAGTAAAATAATAAGAGTGGATGATTATTCATATTGAAAGTAACTAACCTATTACTTTTGATTATTATTCTTCTATTGATGTTACATTATAAAAGACTGTAAAAAAGTTATATTAATCATCAAAAAGTAGTATATTTTAGAAATTATTAAGATTTACAGAGATAATTATAACTTCTCTAATCGCAATCTAAGATTCTTAATTACTGATTAACTTTAGCTCAACTTAACTTTTTACAAACATCAAATAGTAAACACTTATAAATTACTGAGATCATGTATAATCACTGTTACCTTCAAGATGATTTTCACGAAATTAATTAATATTTAGTCAAAAAAAGTATCCATCATCACTTCATAGCTTTGAAAAACTGTATTCTTTAGATGAACTCATCAAACCAGTTAAATTAAAAATTACCCAAGATTTAAAATTGACTAATTTAAAGATTGAAAAAAGGAATCAAAAATTGTTATTAGCTATACATATCCATAAATGAGAGTGAATCAATAATAAATGGTTTTATGAATTTTTGTGTTAAATATTCAAAATTGTAATTCATCAATTATTTAACAATGATTAATTTTTCAATAATTTTAATAATTATAAACATGAATTAATTATTACAAGTATTCCATAAATTATTATTTCTAAATTTAGAACCTCAATCTTCTTTATGAATATAATTTTTATATTCTTCAGATAATTTTAATTCCTCATTTTTCTCCTCCTTCATCTTCTCCTTAAACTTACTCCTCCTCATCTACTTTCTCTCTTCTTTATAACCTCAGCTGAAATAAGGATTAGCCTATTCCATATGCTATTGGAGGTAAAGGGAGAGAAGAATGCCATTCAAGAAAATACTAGAACAAAACTATTCATATTTATATTACTACTTAGAGAAAATCTACTTTTTTAACTTCAACTCTCTTACTCATGGTTTCCTATCTAATTGTATTTTAGAGAATGAACAGACAAATTTAAATTGTTAACTGAAATCATTAATTATGCTTAAACAGAGATGATCAACTAGAATGAATTAATCAATCATGGAAATCAAATTATACATAAATAAATATACTAAATTAAATAAAAAGATATTCTATATTATTCAAGAATTATTCTTTGCAAATGTTGAAATGATTTCTCTATAGAATATTCTTCCTTTTCTATCATCAATTCAAAATCTCCACAAAGTCTAAGCTTCTAATTAACAAAAATACATAAGATAATTTTATTGATTTTGTTGTATATAACTTAAAGTTAGAGTAATAGAAATTAATTATAAACAATAAAAAAGAATATGCAAGCCCATTTTTAAGAGAAGAAAGCTCTAGCTGACATCTTTGGTCAAATAAAAGATGTAGATGAGCAAATTTTTGGTGTCATATTAGAAAAATTAAGAAAGGAAAAAGTTTAAGACATCATTGGATATCTTTCAGATAACGGGGCTCAAAGCCAATTAGAATCCTGTATCTTACAAAAAGGAGAGAATATAACCCAGGCTGATAAAGAATGGAAATTGCCTGTTGTCAGAAATGAAATCAGATAAATCACAGAAGTCTTAAGAAAATTAAAAGACCATGACTTCAATAAGATAAACTATTCCTCTGAAGAAAATTTAGAATCTTCATTAAATCTAATTAATAGCGTCAAGTATAATAAATAGATCATAGAATTTCTTAAATGTTTAGTTCACTTCACATCTATAGATGACACTTTAATATAATGTGGGTCTAATTCATTACATATATTAATTTAGATGAAGGTGAATTTTAGAAAAAAGAATTTGGAAAATATTAAGATCAAAAATACTTCTTTGGTAGGAGCTAACTTTGTTAAGTCCAATTTTAGCGGATCCTAATTTAATAATGTTAACATAAGTGGAATAAATTTGAATGGAGCAAAATTATTAAATTGTAAATGGAAAGATTTAAGAATCCATGAATTAAATATATTACATGGTCATAGTGATGAAATAAGATCGATTTGTTTTTCTTCTGATGGAAACACATTAGCTTCTGGTGGTGGTTATCTTTATGGAGATGGTGATAACTCTATTCGTCTATGGGATGTCAAAACTGGATAATAAAAAGCCAAATTAGATGGACATACTAGCACTGTCAACTCACTCTGTTTCTCTCCTAATGGAAATACATTAGCTTCTGAATATGATAATGGCTCTGTCTTATTATGGGATACTAAAACAAGAAAGAAAAGAGCAAAATTAAATGGCCATATTGGCAAAGTCTTCTCGGTTTGTTTCTCTCATGATGGAAAAACATTAGCTTCTGGTAGTTGTGATAAGTCTATCCGTCTATGGGATGTCAAAACAGGATAATAAAAAGCCAAATTATATGGTCATAGTGAATGGGTCTAATCAGTCTGTTTCTCTCCTGATGGAAATACATTAGCTTCTGGTAGTAGTGATGAGTCTATCCGTCTATGGGATGTCAAAACAGGATAATAAAAAGCCAAAGTAGATGGTCATTTTGGAATTGTCTACACAGTCTGTTTCTCTCCTGATGGAAATGCATTAGCTTCTGGTAATTATGATAACTCTATCCGTCTATGGGATGTCAAAACAGGATAATACAAAGCCAAATTAGATGGTCATTTTGGAATTGTCTAATCAGTCTGTTTCTCTCCTGATGGAAATACATTAGCTTCTGGTAGTAGGGATAAGTCTATCTGTCTATGGGATGTCAAAACAGGATAATACAAAGCCAAATTAGATGGTCATACTAGTTATGTTAGATCAGTCTGTTTCTCTCCTGATGGAAATACATTAGCTTCTGGTAGTGATGATAAGTCTATCCGTCTATGGGATGTAAAGACAGTATACGAAATTAAATCCTCCAATAAAAACTAAAAAGATATTCTTGCATAATTTAAGATTCCACTCCAATAACATAACCATTTTTTCGAAGGTAGTATTTATTCCCTATCATATTTTTAGCCTAATCCGCTATAATCTAAGCATAAGGAGCACTCGTTCTCAAAGGAGAATTCATCAATCATCAAGGCACTGATTTGAGACCTTTATTGAAATCCAACGGAAGTTGCTTTTTAGAAGACTTATAGAAAAAGTGATTTTGATCATTATCAAACTACAATTATAATTACAATCAATATCTAAATTTTTTTTTTAATTCTGTCTTTATTCGTTTGACTCTTAATCTTCACTTCTAAAGTTAGTTAAATTCTTATTAATCAAAGTTGTATACCATTTAAGTTATATATGCACTACATTTATTTTAATAATATTATATTATATGGTCAGTTTAGTGTAGGCAATTATTTTAGAGATGTCATAATAACTTTTATCAATCAATATATTTATAGAGATTAAATTATAAATGTAACTGCATTAAATTAATAATCTAAACAGAAAACAGTAAATGAAGAGTTTAAAATAAAGATAGATATAATTACTTTAAGAAACCTAGTTTTACACTACATTCTTTTATAAAACAACTAGGATATTATTTGACATAAACAGTAATAAAGTAAAACAATTAGTTTAGAGGATTTTTCATATTGAAAGTAACCAATCACCTATGATTATTATTCTTAAATTGATTTTAAAAGTATTAGATAGTATAAGAGACCTAAAATTAATTAATCATCAAGAAGTACGATATCATTGTGAGGATTAAGATTTAAGGAAATAATTATATCCTCCCTAAAAACCATCTAATAATTTTATTTACTGATTAACTTAAGCTCAACTTAAAATTTTCCATACTTCAAATAATAAATATTTATAAGTCACTGAATTTAAGTATATTAACTGTTACCTTCAAGAGGATTTTCATGAAATTAATTAATATATATACAAAATATTCCTTAACACTTCTTGCTATTCAAGTATTCTAAAAGTGAAATATATTTATTTAATAAAAACTTTGATATATAACCAAATTTGGAATTTCATAAATTTTAATGATTAATTTATTAAAAAAATACAGATAATTCTCAAAAAGGAGTAACAAAAATTAAAAGAAAAAACCAGAATGTTGGTGCTTTAGCTGATTATACAAGAAGCTTGGTACAAATAATCAAATGAAATTGTTTGTAGAGTTTAAAATTACTTGCAGAACAGAAGAAGCATTAGTAGATATTAATAATTCTTTGGATCTTCACCCTAAATTTACCAAAGTTTTTACTTTAAGAAGTTCAATTTGTTAAAAATTAATTTAGGTGAATTATATGAAAAAATGAAATTATATGATAAACAATTTATTGGGTAAATAATTATTTGATCTAGTATTATAAGATTGTATTAAGTGTGTCGAGATAAATCCAAATTTTGCGATGTGTTATAGTATAACGGTAATAAAGTACAAATAATATATAGGCACTACTATGAGCGATTTAAATTAGAAGAATATTGAACTCTAATATTACTATTAAGCTATTGAAAAAGATGAGGACTGTTATTATGCATTTATTTGTAGAGATAAGATAAATTTATATTTAAAGATTTGTATTACTAAGATGAACAAATAATTGATTTTGCAATTAGAGACCTACTATTTCTTACAAATAGTCTAATAATAATTAATAAAATGAACATTTAGAAACAAAATTGATCTAAAACTTGATGGAAGTATTCCTAATTTTTTTTCTCTCATTTGATAATTATATTTTCAAATATTCTAACCAAATGATACAACAAATCATCAACTAAATTTGATATAAATAAATGAATTATAGTGAAAATTACATTTTATGGAGACTTTTTTGTTCCATCTTTACTAATTAAACCCTAAAAGGTTGATGTCAAATTATCCTGATAATACTTTAAAACTTAAAATTAAAGATTTAATCTTAGATTGAAATCTTAGATTCAATCCTTTATAATTCTATTTTCAATATTTCAAGGATTCTTAGCTATTTACAAATACAAATCTTAAATAAATACTTAAAACGAACAAAAATTTAGTTAAACCATTTATCTATTAAATTTATATGTTAACTTTATCCCCATCTTGGATTTTGATTTCTTATTTATAGAATAATCAAGCTATAGGCCTTCAAAGAAAACACATATCACAATTTTTAAGATTTTAATTTCCTTCTTTAAAATTTTAACTATCCCTCTAAAACTCTATCTTCCCATTTTTTAATTATTCTATAAGAAGAATCGTTAACTCAAAATGAACTTTTGCTACTATTCTTCGATTTGATTGAATCAAAATCCCTCTTGGTAATTTCACAAGAAATGATAATTAGATTTGCTAAGAAATCATGTGCTTTAACTCTTTGGATATTTGGTTACTACTAAAAAAGTCTCAATTTCTTTCAGGACCAACGTTTTTTCGTTTGATTGGAATCATTCGCTTCCACCTTTTTTATCATTTGGATCCTTATTTAATTATGTTTTATTATCCACAATCAATTGAGACTATAATTTT